ATCATGTGGGAAAGGTACTATTCTTGAGTGGCTTCTGGGACTAGTCAAACTATACCGCCATGATGCTAAGTTATCATAAAATGGGAGTCTTAATAGATGCAGTGTCATGATTATTATTGTCCTTCCAACATGTTTCATGCCTTCATCAAGGTATGGTTTCCAAGTACTAATACATTTTTAATTTTTGTAAGAGTGATTGGAATATCTCTTCTAGAAATGATAAATATATTTTTGGCCTCTCAATTCGAGGAGTATACTATGAAGAGGTGGTTCCTAGTTCCTAGCTACAAGGAGTTTACAGAGGTCTACCGTCTTGTTGTTTGCTACTATTCAAGGCTTTCGCCACAATTGTCCAAAACGAGTTGATTGGCTTGATTTTGGCGCAATTGCCCACCATATGCAAATCCACTCAATAACATACTACATCTAGATATGTCAAAGTTAAGGAGCTAAAATCACATTGCCTTAGCCATCATACCTTAACTTTGACATATTTGGATATCAAACTATTGAGTGGATTTGCATAGGCTAGGTTGCAATTGTGCCAAAAATCAAGCCAATCAACATACGTTACATAGTCAGAATTCTTGCTTGGGACATCTCCTTTTGGACAACTGTGGTAAATCCTTTGTAAACTCCTTGTAGCTAGGAACTATCTCTTCATAGTATGCTCCTCGGATTGAGAGGCTAGAAATATTTCGCATTTCTTGAAGAGATATTCCAATCACTCCTACAAAAGTTAAAAATGTATTAGTACTTGGAGACCATACCTTGATGAAGGCACAAAACATGTTGGAAGGACAATAATAGTCATTATTTACTAATGACATTGCATCTATTAAGACTCCCATTTTATGATGACTTAGCATCGTGGCTATATAGTTTGACCAGTCCCAAAAGCCACTCAAGAATGGTACCTTTCCCACATGATCAATTGATGGACACCATTTGCTTGCTCCTTGGCCAATTGACTATGTTACAATTGTAGTTGGTATTGCATGTCAAACAAAACAATCCAATCACTTTTCAAGACGGCAGCAGTAGAAATCATCTTGGGAGCAAGTCTTTGACTGGGAGGCATGTCTAAAAAAAGAAGTCCCACACATAAGGCCAAATTACTCATGTTAAAGTTGGAGAATTAAATAATAACAGGCACTCTAAAAAAAGATGCTTGTTTGGATAGTACAAGATGGATGCAGTTCCAAGGGAAACATCAACAACAATTTCAAGTACGTGTTCACAAAATTATAATTCACAATGTCACAAAGTCGCAATTCACAAAATCACGATGTTACAACCTAAAAAAAAAAAATACTCTTGTAGTTTAACTTTCCATGACTAGGTAAATGTGCAAAAGTTGTAACAAATAAATGAAGAAGAGTATAAGCAAGTTCTAAAAAGAAAAGACAAAGTGATGCATATAGCAAGAATGGTGCCTTTCCCACATGATCAATTGATGGACACCATTTACTTGCTCCTTGGCCAATCGACTGTGTTATGACTATAGTTGGTATTACATGGTTGGAGGGAAGCACCAAGGAAGGAAGAGATCTAGCATTGCTCACAGTTGATGAAGCTTCTTCTTTTGGGATCACGTACTCACAAAGCTTGGGCTTCTACAATAAGGGTAGATTCAAGGCCAAACAAATCAACAATCCAATCACTTTTCAAGACCGTAGTAGTGGAAATTTGATTAGGAGCCATGTTTGAACAAAGAAGTCTCACACATAAAGCCAAATTATTCATGCTAAAGTTGGAGGATTAAACAATAACAAGCACCATAAAAATAGACACTTACCTGGATGGCATGAGATGTATGCAATTCAAGGGGAAACATCAACAACAATTTCATGTACCACAGTGTGTGTGCAAAGTTACAATTCACAAGTCCGAGTTACAACAAAAAAATATACTTTTGCAATTTAACTTGCCATGACTAAGTAAATGTGCAAAAATTGTAACAAATAAATGAAGCAAGAGTGCAAGCAAGTTCTACAAAAAGAAAAGACAAGGTGATGCATGCAGCTAGAATGTTGGGGTCGAGACTTGATGGTCTAAAGAAAAAAAAAATTGTTATTCCATTTGTTGCTTATGGAAAGGATTGAGTAAAACCACAAATTAGGTGATTAAAACAAAAAATTACAGAAAGTTGGAGGATGGAAGTTAATAAATAATATGAGTTCAAGGATCAGATTGCAGATTTTCCAAAAAAAGTGGTTGGTGAAAACCCGACGCTAACTATTTCATTCGCAGAGCCAGAGTGTTGACACCTGCCTTTAAGAGTTGACCTCTATGTAGATGTTTTTGGCCCAAGGGTGCTGGGTAGGAAAGGAGGGCCCAGGCGCAAGAAGGACGTTTAGCCTGTTAAAAGAAAAAAAGAAGAAATCAATTAAATAATCTTCACCAGTTTATACTGTGAGAAAACAGTGCATAGGACTCTTTAAAAATCACAAGATTTGGGTCATGAAATTTATAAAAAAAAAAAAAAAAAATCATGATGAAAATAGAATTTATTGTGCTGCTGCGTTCGAAACTACTGCTATTTTATGACTTTGCTCACCCAAAAGAA